AATGATTATATATTTATTTGAAATCTTAATGAATTATTTTATTTAGTGTAATAAGTTTTAAGCGTGTGAATGTCCTAGTTTTTAAAAATTATCGTATATGTACATTTCAATTTATATTTTTTAAATTATTTATAAATTATTTATTTAATAGTAACATATTATTTATTTACATGCAAGCGTATATATTACTTATTTACAATAATTTTTTCACTTTCCACGGATGACTCGACTTACTTAATACATTATACAATTGTTTTGCATATGTGAAATAATATTTTAACTGTCTTAAACTTTGAAACTTTATAATTAATTTATTTAGCTCACTGATCCAATAATTAAATTCCAATTGATCGAGTAATTCCAAATATTGAACTCAATAGTCCATTGGAAATATTACATAGCTAATTAAAAAATTCTAATTTCTCAAATACCCTCTGAAGATATTATTTTCTATTTATATAATATTTTCTGAAAATATTCACAAATTTTGTAATTTTAAATTCGATAATATAATCAACTGACTCAATTTCAAATATATTATATTATTCATGATAAAAATAGCAAAGGATTAAAAGAAGTTTCTAAAAGTAGATGTAAATGCTTTCCGTTTTTATTCTGTAAATTAGCAACGGAGTTCAGCATTTAGAAACGAGTTTCTAATATCCAATTCTTTTGTGGTAATTATATCATTTATTTGCTAAGGGATCAATCATTTTTATATTTACTATAACTTAATTAATATTAAACTAATTATATTAAAACTGAATACTTAATCTTTTAATTTTTTAAACTGATTTATTTCATGAAAGTTTATTTCTCATAATAAATATCCAAAATAAATACTAGAAAATAATATTATTATTAATAATAAATGATCCTAACAAATTTCATAGTTAATTTCATTTCCTTTGTCCAATATATCAAAGGAAATATTTTAACTAAATTTATAAAAAATTATTGATTAACAACTTAATTAATATAATTACCAAATAAATATTTTTCTATTTTCCATGTTCTGTATCTTTTATTTCTAATATATATATCATTGTAATTTCTAATATTAATTTTAATAGTACTTTAGTAATAATAATAGTAATGAAGGTAATAATAGTATTTTAATAATATAATAACAAACAATAATCCAATAATATTATTTTCAGTAATAATAAAATCTTAATAATTTCATCAATAATATCTTTCCTTAATCATTAATCTTTATATAATAAAAATAATATTATTATCAGCTATAATAATTTTAACAATTTCATTAATAATATATTTTCCTTCCCTTCTCTTAATATTGCTATTTGGTTTAAGGATGTCCCTCTTTCCATTTGGCCTTTTAATATATTGGATTCTTCTTTTTAATATAATCATTTGTTTCCTAAAAAAAAAAAAAAAAAAAAAAAAATTAAAATATATTGGATTCTTCTTTTTTAATATAAATCATTTGTTTCCCTAAAAAAAAAAAAAAAAAAAAAAAAAAAAAAAAAAAACCTTTTACTGCATCACTTTACCTTCCTTACCAAAATAGTTTACTAACTAGTTTTGATGTTAACTTAAATTTATTATTCTTTGAAAATAAAAAATTTAAGAATATTATTGTTTTATTTCATTTTAGATTGTAGATTTATTTTATTATGATTAAAATTAATTGATTTATCTCTAATACTTATATGTAATTCAAATGCTATGAGCCATTAATAGACTTTTAAATTTTAAATTTTATCTTCTGCCTAATAGAAAGCTTAATTTCAAGATTAAATCACCTAATAAATTATAATAAAAAATTTTTTAATTTGATAAAATTTTCTTTTAACTCACGTAATTACTCTAAATTTAAGAATTTTCTCTCCATAAATTTACCACTAATTAAAATTAAGACTAAGAAAATTGGATATACGGTAATTTGAGGTGATAAATAGAAAATTATAGAATGTAGTTATTGCGTTTAATAGAGATAGAGATGAAATTAGGAAAAAATAAAAATTATTTTTTAATTTTTCAAAATGACAGACAAATAACTTCTAAAATGTGACTAATAAAAATTGTTGGAGAGATTACTTAAGTTTTTTGTGCAAAATAATGGTATCCGGACCGTCTAATCCGGCTCGAGCTTAGTTACAGTTAAAGTTTTTTGCCCCTTCCTGCAAGTGTATTTAGTGGGGATTGAGCCTAAGAGCTCTTTCCACATACCTAGCCTGCGTTGTCAATTGAGTTACAACGTTTAAATTATTTTAATTGATTTGTAAGAAAGAGAGATTTATTCGTGAAACATCTTAAATCAAAATTCTAAAAAGTATTAGGGAATTAATGAAAATCTACAAAAAAAGGCCAAAGGCAAATTACTATAACACTCATGCTTTTGACAAAAATAATGCTCTCTACAAAACTATTTCTCAATCTAATATCATTTCAAAACTATTTGCCAATCTAATGTTTGTCTTGACATGGAAAGAGAGTGTTGCACTAAAACCACCAATTGAGTTGATGGTTTCAGTGCAATAAAAAAAGTAATCAATACTGACAAGCAGTAAGTAAAAAGTAGTTATATGAATGAACAATAATTTTTATTTTGTATTGAAACCACCAATTGGATTGGTGGTCTCAATACAAAATAAAAATTTTAAGTTGTCATTGGTGGTCTCAATACAAAATAAAAATTTTAAGTTGTCAATTTGTCTTTTTACTAAAACACACAATTCGTTTGGTGGTTCAGTACAACTGTGAGATGTAACTACTAGTCAGCAAAAAATATGTAGGGAAATAGTGTTTGCTAAAAGTCCACCAAATTAATTAGTAGTTTCAATAAAAAAATATTTATTCACCGACACACATATAATCTAGTGATTTTAGTGCAATGCATTTGATATGTGCAACGAACTAGACGTTGGATTTCATTTTGAGGTGCAGAAGTTGGAGCTATGATAATTATTCGACATCTTTTTATCTATTCATTTAATTTCTTAATATAATTGAATAATAAAAATAGCTTGTTATTTTGTAATTATTCATACATTATTATTCAATCAATGAAATAGAATTTCTTCAACTTGTTCATGCTTAGGCGTGTTCTTTGCTTTAGACAGAGTGTGAGATTGCATTCTTCTAATTGCATCAAGAATCAAGGAAAACTTATCAATTCTTTTGTGGCGTTTATCTTATTCTATTACAAATAAATCTAAATAAAAATTAATTAAAGTAATTAAAAACACTAAAAATCCTAATAAAAATTATATTAAAAATACTATAAAAATAAGACCTATCACACCACAATTTGAGTGGAGTGTACCATCTGCAACATCAGAAATGTCATTGAACATTCATTACACTCCATGATGGCAATCCATTAAATCCATACTTCTTGCTTCAAAATAGGCGAGGTAACGTTACTTCAATATACAGTACCTGCTTTCAATACTTCTGCGATGTTTTTTGGCATACGTGATGGATTTACATCTCATGCTAGGCACTCATTCAATGATTTCTTTGAGATGATGATGTACCTGAGCAACAAACTCATCTAACATTTTCTAGCCCATAATAACCATTTGTGAATGTAGTTTAAGCTCCTCGCATGAGTGTCGATATAAATACTGAGCATGGAGAAGAATATAAAGGTATTAGAGAAGATGCAGTACGCTGAAATCCACGTCGTAATAGGAGGCCTCCAAGGTGTAGTATAAGAGGATATGTGGGTAGATATTAATATGATTAATTTTTCATGTATTAGTTATTACGACATTTTTAACATCATACAAGTTCAACTCGAAGCACTTTATTACTCTCGGTAATTTTTAACTGTGTAAGGAAACTTATGTTGTTATTTATGTTGTTATTACTTAACTTGAAATAATTGTAAACCAAAACCACTAGATCATACATGTGTTTTAATGAAAAAATATTTTGAGTGAACAATTATTTTTTTATTGAAATCACTAATTAATCTGGTGGACTCTTAACAAAAATACTATTTTCTCATATACTTTTTGCCGACTTGTAGTCACATCTCATAGTTGACTAAAACCACTAAACGAATTGTGTTTTTAGTGAAAAAACAAATTGATAATTTAAAATTTTCATTTTGTATTGAGACCAATTGGATTGGTGGTCTCAATACAAAATAAAAATTATTATTTATTCATATAACTACTTTTTTTTTTACTTAGTGTATTGATAATTTAAAATTTTCATTTTGTATTGAGACCAATTGGATTGGTGGTCTCAATACAAAATAAAAATTATTATTTATTCATATAACTACTTTTTACTTAGTGTTTGTCAGTACGATGTACTTTTTCTATTGCTCTGAAACCACCAACTCAATTAATAGTTTTAGTACAACACTCTCTCCTCATGTCAGGATAAACATTAAATTTGTAAATAGTTTTGAAATTATATTAGATTAGAAATAGTTTTCTGAAGATCATTATTTTTGTCAAATGCCGATATATCATTTAACGTCAACAATTTAGTCTCAATTTTTAGAATTCTAAATTTTTTCAATACACTTTTAATCTTTATTTTTTATGTTATATATCATTTTAGTCCCTAATAATTTAAAATATTATAATTATTAAACTATTGTAAAATAATTTTTTTTAGAAAAAAAAGAAGGGAGCAAAACTCAACTAATTAATAGGTAACAGCATAAATATTGCACCCTTTTTGCTCAAATTGAAAAAATCTTTAATCACTCAAAATCTTGTACTTTTATTTAACTCAATTACTAAAAATGAAAATTGGAATGAAATTATTAAATGATATTTTCATAATTGTTATAATAATAATTTAACCAAAATGGTAAATCCATTATATTTTTTTTTGGTACAATAAATACATTATATATACTTTTGTTGCATATATGTGTAATTTTGGTTGTCCTTCGAAACCAAGAATCTCTAATCCACAAAGGACCAATAAAACAAAGCCACCTCATCTTCCAAAATCTTTCTCCTATCATTCCATCCTCACAAATCTTACTTCCCAAATATATGGTTTCTTTATCCTCCTCCTCCTCCTCCACCACCACCTCCACTATACAAATCTCATCCTAAATTTTCAAAACCTCCAACTCCAACATCACCAGCACCACCAATGGCAACGTCCACCTTATTTTTCACACCCACCATCCAAAACCACCACCAGACCAATATTTCCCCATCCAATGTCTCTTTCCAAGGCCTTAGACCTCTCCCCCTAACCAAAGCCACCAAGAAGCTCACAACCACCACCGCCACCAACCCAAGAAAGAACTTGGCCATCAAAGCAGAGCTTAGTGCACCACTTGTTATAAGCCTAAGCACAGGGCTCTCTCTTTTTCTTGGTAGGTTCGTTTTCTTTAACTTCCAAAGAGAAAACGTAGCAAAACAAGGCTTGCCGGAGCAAAATGGAGTTACCCATTTTGAGGCAGGAGATGTTAGGGCTAAAGAATATGTTAGCCTTCTAAAATCAAACGATCCTGTTGGTTTTAATATTGTTGATGTTCTTGCTTGGGGTTCTATTGGTCATATTGTTGCTTATTATATCTTGGCTACCACAAGCAATGGCTATGATCCCAAGTTTTTTTAATTTTGCTGCGTAACTTTCTTTGTATAGTAGCGATCCAATGTTTTTAAATTTCTTTTTCTTTTTTTCATGGAAAAGTTTAAGGTTTGGATTGGTTAAGTGTTATTCATGGTTGTAACCTTTTGTGATATTTGATCTATTGAAGCTTGGAATTTAAGATCAATTTTAATGCCTTCTTTGTTGTTTAGGAATTTATGTTGAATAATATATTAATTAAAATTATAAAAAAACATCAGTGGAGGTTTATTATTTGGTCTTGCATTATATTCCATAACTAAATATTAATCAATTAAAATTATTGAATTATTGCCTATTAAATGCAGTCTGATTGATCTTATCAATTTTATTTGTTGTGAGGAGGGAGACATCACATAAATTTTTATTAATTTAGCGCTAATCATTTAAAAAGGAAGATTATTCATATTGTATAATAAATATTATTTTGATTAGTTTCAATGATTAATAATTAGTTGAAAATATTAAAATTAAACCTTCAGTAGACTATTGATTATAATTAATTTGTTCATTTTTGCTTTTAGATTATTATTGACACAGTGGATGAATGAAACCAAGAACATCATATGAATTTTCTAAGGAAAATTATTGATTACAACTAATTTTCTTATTAGAAAAGATATAAGTCTATCTATGGGTATCGGTTCATCTACGTACCAAACTAATTAAGTGTCATTTAAAAAATGAAAATTATTTTTTTTTAGTATAATCAAGGGTTTAATTATCTCGAGCTCAGAGTGTAAAGGGTTTTTTCCCTCTTAGCAAAAGAATGTTCATGGCTTTAACGACAGATAACAACAGAAAAGTGTTTGGAACTCTATCAAAAACCAAAGCCATTGATTGCGATAAATGGCATTTCTTTATTTGAGAAAAGGGTATGTAAACAGAGAATACATTATTTTTCTGAAGTAGCTTCGAAATTTCAATGATCTTTGGCTCAATCTACACAGGATAAACCCAGAAATGCTTTATTCATTTTCTTGGGCAAACATAAACATCAAATAGATTGCTATATCTTAGAGAGATATACTGTTTTCGAGCTTGATTCCATCTCATTTATTGCCCCCATTGACAGTTGTTTTTGCAGATCTGCTTTAAATTCAAAGAGGACTTGATGCATTTCATCAAAGTGAGGCCTTGTTGCATTTCTTGTATTCTCAATCCATCGTTGAACTTTCCTATAAGGACCAAGTATTCGATTCCGATCCTTCTCATCCAAAAGCTAAATCCAAAAGTAAATTTTACAATCAGATCATAATAATACATATAACCATATTTAAGCCCTATTTAATACAAGTCATACACAAAAAGCCACACTGAATTTTTATCTGCATACCTCCAGTTGCATTATTTCACAGACAAGGCTTAGATCTGCTATGGATGGTTGGTTGCTGCCAACCAAAAATCGTCCACTCCCCTTGAGCCAAAAGGATTCTATCTTTGACAGCGATGAGAAGAGAATTTTTTCACCTTTGGCTGCCGCTCGTGGATTCAGGGGTAGACCAAGTGCAGGCGCCATTGCAGTATTCACAACATATGTAACTATTGAAGAAGCATGAAATCGAACATCAACCATCAGAAAGGGGTAAACCAGCCAAGAACATCAACTTATTTCTGGATTAGAAGCATGTTAAAAACCCAAATAAACATAATACTTATACGTATCCAATAGATGTTTAAGATCAAATTAACTATGACGTACGTGCTCCCAGTCGTAAATTTAAGTGATGCCAATCCAACACTGATTGAATCTTTGCTCTCTTGAAAAGATCAGCTGGATACCTTAAAGCATGGAATATGAAAATTGTTAAAAAAGCGATTTGCAGCTTACAACCATGTTAAGCTATTTATGTCACTTAAACACATAATCAGAGATTCAATTAAACAGATAAGCAACTGTACTTACCAATGGTCAGCAACTCCAGGAAATGCACAAGCCAGATAGCTAAGGATTGCATGACTGCAAAAAACAATTAAGAATTCAATTGCAAAAAGGGGAAAAAAAGGGAGTTCAAATTCTCAAAAACGTAACAATAAATCATAACTTATGAAGCACATACAACTAAATAATAGAACAAAAATTGCCAGTATTGCCATTCAAATAGATTTTCAGAACCTAGAAAGAAAGACTGCACAACACCTTTCAAACAGCTTGAATCTTCCATCAACTATAGCTGGTACTTTCCCAATAGGGTTTATCTCTGTAAATACAACATGGGACAAAAACGGCTCGGAAATGTTAATCATTTACAAAAAGATGGTATTTTGAATTTGACTCTCTATTTTACTTCAAAAATCATAAGATTAGCTTGCTTTTTCTTAAGCATTCCAAACCATTACATGTTCGCTTCAGAAAATAGCTAGACTGACTAGCTTATTCTTAAACATTTTAACATTTTAACATTTTAACATTTCATTTGCTCCAAAAACCGCAGCTTTTTTTTCAGCATTACAAGATTTCTCGAATCAAATAATTCTCAAATGCAAATTTACCCTCCTTTTGTAAATAATTTCACTGTAGCACCTTTTGGATAAAAAACTTATTTCTAACTCTGGTTATGAAAATTGCCAACAAACAAGAACATTGCCACCCTTGAATCTTCTGTTCAATTTTTTTTTCCCTCAGTTTGTTGGTTTTGGGTATGGGAAAGAGATGACTAATCAATATCGCATCTATCAAGTTTTTGTCCACATATACATGGGTCATGACTTGTTGCCTTGCCTATGTTGAAACATGTTGGAACAGTATTATAGTTATAGACACGTGTTATTAATAATTTATTAATAATAAATTAAATATATATATATTTTTAGAATGGAAAATACTTCATTAAGCAATAAAAGAGTTATCCAAAGCAATAAAAGGAAAAACAGTAACCAAATAGCTTCATCTAGAATACTAGAAACAGAAAGCTTTGCTAATATTTAGTTATTTATTAATTTCCAACTATGTATTTGTATTTCAATTATTTATGAAATAGAGTAAATGATATAAATTTTATTATCTTTTTCACTTTTAGCGTTTGGATGTTTTGTTTTCTATTTGGTTTTTTTATAAGATTTCGGTGTTTTCTTTCTATTTAATATTGAATATGATTAAATATGAATTGAATTTGATTTGTTGTTAATAACTTTAATAGTTTATAATGATTTATTTATTGTTGTTGTTAAAAATTTTATTTATGATTGCTTGTCCTTTGTAAATTATAATAAATATACTTTTTCAAAGTTGCTATATCTTTGTATTTTTTTTTACTTTTTTTTACGTGTTTCTCATATTTTTATTTTTGATAATTTTTAAGATTTTGTTGTCTGCATTTTTTAAATTTGGAGTTCGAGTCTTGAATATAGAAATTGTCAAATTAGAAAAGTCTTGCTTCTATATGAACCTGCAATATTTGAGCTGGATTTAGGTAGAGTATAGTGGACTTTTAATACCAGAATTATAGAGAAAAAAAAGAAAAAAAGAAAATTCCACGTTTTTTTCATTTCTGTTTACCATTACCGTTTCCGTTTCTATGCAACGGGCTTGGTAAGAACTCAACTGTTTTATAAAATCAGCTAAACCAAAAAAGAAGAACGAGGAAGAATACCTTTGAATTCAGGAGATAACTGTTGACGCTTGGTTAGGTCGATGTTGATCTCCTCAAAGTCTATCCCATTTACCCTGTATATAATTAAATTACCCTAATGAAATGTACTCAGGAAAAACAAAATCCCAGCTTTAAATTTGCAGCCAAAAACCATTGAAAATGGACTTAAGCAGAGTATAGAGAACAGAGGAAACTAAAATTACTTGCAGAAGATAAGAACTGCCCGTGCTGGCTGGGACCTTCTATCTGCATATATCTTCAGCTTCATTTTCTTGCTTCTCTTTTAATCTAATGTAGAGCAAGTTGATGTCTGATTCTTTTCCTTTTCCTTTTTAATCTACCAACTACAGAATCAATGGTAGGACCCCATTGCTATAATGCCGGAGCCATTGGGAAATATCATGCTAGAATGTGTGTTCACAGAGAAAAAGCTTATCTTAGATGCTTTGTCGTTTACCAGTTTTTGGCTTCGGGTTTTTAAAAATCTTATCTTAAATACTTTTTGTCTTTTTTTCTGTTTTTCGTAATTTACATTGAGCCTTCTGATATCAACTAAGAAGAAATTAAGAATTCTGTTTGCATAGGCTTGATGCCGATCCCAGAATTGAAGAAATTTGCTTGTAAAAGAGCACCGTACGTGCAGTTCATCAAATTAAATTGAGGATTCTTTGCATTTTTTGCATCCTTAATCCACTGCTAAACTTTCTTGTATTTGCTCAGTATCCGATGATGATCATTTTCATCCAATGGTTATACACCAAACAAATAAGTTTACATATACATGAACATTATGTCTTCCTCAAGTAACTACTGTGTTAGTAATTTTGAAGTTAAAACCAAAAAGAACGCAAAGAAGCGAAAGTATTAAATAAAGCTGCGTTATTTTGCAGACAAGGCTAAGATCTGCTTGTGATGGTTGATCTGCTTCAAGCAACAATTTCCCTCTGTCCTGAAGCCAAATGGACTCTATTGTTGACAGAGCACAGACAAAACTTTGTCACAAAATCTAGGCTTGCCCATTTGTTAGACAATTGCACACAAAATCTAGGCAAGCTCAAGTTAAACCCATGGTACAGGCTGTGTTAAAAATATCATACAGGCCATGAATTAATCTTCATGGCCACTATAACATTGTCTTTGGAAACACTCCACTTCTTATCAATCACAGCTCGCAAGATATATATATATATATATATATGAAGGAAGAATGATGCTCCAGGAAATAATGCACAGGCAAGATAGGTAACACATTAAGTTAGTTTAAAATATATTACATGACAATAACAGATTTTTATTCTTTAACCTGTCAAGTGTTTGCAAGTTGCAGTTTTCATAGCTCATTTGGGAAGATATTCTGCCAGGGCTACAAAGCAGGGATACCTCTTATTGTGGGGTCCTTCCAACTCGCTGGACACACACATTTGAAAAAAGAAAAAAAACAAATAAACACGTTTTTATTGTTGGTCAAAGAAAAAAAAAAAGAAGAGATTCAAACGTTTATGAGTACCACACGTTTGAATGAAGAAAAAAGAAAGGAAAAATGGACGAGTAAGAATTTTAAAAAAAGGTTCCTAAAATTGGGAAAGAGAGAAAACAGTAAGAATTATAATTTTTGGGGTGGTTTTTTTGGAAACACTTAGCCCATAAATCTCGGTGTCATATATTATTTAATTTTACCATTTTACCATGGTTATTATTTCTGGTGGATTCGATCGTCAATATCTAATACGTACTTATTAGAGCATTTTTTCGCGGGTTCCACTCGGGATTATATCTGATCCCTCTGACTGAGAGATTTTGAACTCGAGACCTCTTATTCTTAATATAAGTGAAAAGACTAACCAGACCACAACCTGATTAACAAATACTTATCCTTTATCACCATAATAATAAATTACTAAGGATATTAATATTTTTTTATCAAATTGAGTTAAAAATATTTGTCTACTTTTTAATATTAGCGAATTAAATTTAAATGTTCTTAATTAAGTTAAAATATTTCTTCCTTTCTTATTTTGTAGAAACACTAATATATTTATCATGTTTTTCTTAATTTTTGTCATTTATAATAATAAATTACTAAAAATATTTTTTTCCATCATTAATAAAATATATTGGATATTATATTACATTCTTATTCTATTTTATTAAAAAAAATATTAATATTCATAGTTAATTTAAAATATTTCTATTTCCTAATTGAGTTCAAATATTCCTGATAGTCAAAATCCTTTCTCCTTTGTTTGTTTTATAAAAACATTAAGATTCTTAATTAAGTTTAAATATTAATCAATGATATTATATATTGTTTTTTCTAATATCTTTTTTTTTTATTTTGATTATACCTAATGATTTTTTTTTTTTTTGAACTGAATATTCTACGACTATAAAATTATAACACAATAAATAGCTAATTAGTGACAACTTGATGAAGAAACGTAAACCACATTGAATTATATTCAATAAAATTCAAAATAGCCAAAAGAAAAAGAAATAGGAGAGATTACCTTTTGTACTGCAAACGCTATGCACAATAACGAACCATAAAACAAAAGCATTGAAAATAAAATTAACAAATGGGCTTACTCTCTTTGTATTTGGGCTTTAAAACAGGGAAAGTTAGAATACATGAATACTACCGGCTTTGGAACTTTATATTTGCCCAAATGCTAAAGCTGGCCGGCCCAAAAATAGAATCCTAACAATATATAATAATTATTTTTTCATATTGAAAAATGTATTATAAAATAATAAAAATAATAAAAAAGTAGGGATAGAAGTAGAGAGATAATAAGTACAGGGAAATAGACTTCTATACAAATTAGAAAAATAGACTTCTAACTAATTAGAAATATAGAATCCTAACCTACATAAAACATTCATTAATTTCATAACACTTGATATGATTTTTATCTCTCAAAGAATGTCGTATTACAAATCTTACTAAGCAAAAATCCCGTAGAAGAAAAAAATTTGTAAAAAAAACAACAATATAAACTTCACTAAAAAAAATTAGTGAAGGAAAAAAATAAATTAATCTTTTCTTAAGTATGCGATAAAATTTTGTCCCGTTACCAACTTTTATTAGAAAAAACCAATGAAATAATCATTTGGTTAAATGAAAAAATAGTACAATAAAACATTATTTAAAGAAAAAAAAACGATACAGTGCGTATTTACTCATCTTATGAAGATATTACTTGAAAATTTTGAGTGTATGCATTGCAATTTTGTACATAAATTCTATAAATTTGTAATATGAAGTGATTTGATGAGCAAATCAACAATATTGTGAATTTGTTAAACATCAATATCGCCGACACTACCATATATGTTCCTATCATTATTACCATCCATGTTAGCATTTCCTACCCCCAATCTCAACATCTACATTGCTCCCTCCAACTTGGCTGCCTTCTTCACTAATTTCCACATTAGGAATGTCATTTCTCCCACTGCACATGTTCTTAAACTACCCTCTATGTTTCTATCACTATTACCATCCGTATTAGCACTTCCAATCCCAATCTCAGTATTTACATTGCTTGCATTTTTGGTTCAGCGCAGCCAACCACTTTAATCACATTAGAACATAGACTTATACTATAGTGAGAAGTACATTATCGTGTAACGGTAGTAAATTATAAGATAAAGTAGTGTATTTTCTAAAATAGATTACGGCATAATATATATGGGGATAAAATTATAATTTTTTTTAAAATTCAATAAATGTAATTTTATGTTTAAAAAATATTTTTTTTTGTTCGTTTTTCTTCATTTTTCTCCTTATTTTACTTTTTTTTTAATCTTAGAGTTGAAAAATTAGCAGATTGTTAAAAGGATTATATATTTTGAAGATAATTAAATATTTTAAGGATTATCAAAACTATAACATGCTATAGAAATTAAATAGTAACTCATGTTAAAAGGCAAAATTGACATTTCAAAATTATTTAATGACAAACAGCTGTACAAAAGAATGTAATAATTGGATGGAATTAAAATAAAAAGTTGTTATTTTCTTTGTTCCAATTTTTTATTAACAAATATTAAAAAAGTAATTAAACTGAATTTATTTTATTTTTTTCCTTTTTTGTCCTTAACACATCAATAAATGAGTGAATTAGTATTAAGACTACATTTCTACTTACACATAGTTAATGCATTTCCAAAAAAATAAAAATAAAAATTGACAAAATGGATTTTGTACTTTAACCAAAATCTATTTGAAGTAAGTTCGTCTATGTAAATAAAATGTCCAAATTAGAAATTTTGTTCAAGTAATGAAAGGGAGAGAATAAAATAACTTTTGAATTCTAGGAGGAAAACACAGGGGCATGAATGTAAATATACTATACTATGTTGATAAAATAGATGAGGACTAACTTGTCCAAAAATTAATTCAAACAGAATTTTGTGCTCAAGCTTATACATGACTGAACTCCTTACCCTACCCGTACAAGTATATGATGCCCGATAAGTGTAAAAAATAAAAAATAAAAAAATAAAAAAAAAAGAAAGAAAACGAGGAAAATAAAATAAGAAAAATAAAAAACCTGGAAAATAACCGATGATACACTTTGTTTAAACAGTTTTTTTTTTTTTTTTTAATGCGCTTTACTTAAAAAAAAGTTAAAAATTTAAAAAAGAAAAGGGTTGAAGATGAAATATTTACTATACAATTATATTGTTTGATATAATGAGAGTTTAATATTTTTTTTACTTGTAAATTTTTTACATAATTCAAAATTACGTTGTTTCAAGCATTTTTTAAAATTTTTTAATAGTTTCCTTCATTAACAATATTTAGGCAAAATAAAATGATAATTTATTTTATTATTTTATAAAATTTATTAGTTTTAATCATTATATGAGTATAATCATTGTAAAAGTTATTTAAAATAAAATTTACCAATATTTTTTTAAAATTCACATTAATTTTTTTGAAATAAAGACGCTTAGAATCGAATTTTTATTTTTTACTTGAAAAAAAGAATACATGTATCGCTGAAAACCGTAATTCAAATCAGCTAGAATCAAAATTGGACCGTAATCAATAATTTAAAAGCCGATTCAAATTCAACATTTTAAAAATTTTAAATCGTCGATTTCATGAACCGAAACTCACTATTTAGTTAACTGGCCATATCTAGTCTTAATTAGGTAAGTTGTTATGAATAATAATATTATTATTCATGGAACCCGCATTTGGATTAACTGGTCATGCCTAATCTTAATTAGGGTAAGTTGTTATTAATAATAATATTATTGTTCTTCTTATTATTATTCCCTTAAAGGTTCAAACCCATAGAGAGGATAATTATTAATTATTAACTGGTCCATTATAAAAAGAAAACAAAAATTTGAAAAGGAAAAACAAAATCTATTAGGCTAAATCTTTCTTTACCTCCCTTGTCTTGACCAAAAAATGTCGACCCATAACCCAATTGCTACAGTTATTTCACCTCAACAACAGATACAGAGCGAGACAAGCAACGGTCAATCCTTCAGGTCGTACCCTCCAGCAACGGCCCAGTATCAGGATGTTGTTCAAAGTTCAGACCTTTTCTGGGAAAAGCTCAAAGCTTTTCACAAATCCTTTGGCACCAAATTCGTGTAATTGGATTTTTCATAAACCCTTTTATGTTACTTCATTTATTTGTAATATTCAGTTATTTTCTACATCTGGGTTTTTTTTTTTTTTTTTTTTTTTTTTTTTTTTATATATACTTTCTTGTGATTACTTTGCTTTGTAGTTTGGAGTTCTGTTTTTTTTTTTTTTTTTTTTTTTTTTTTTTTTATATATACTTTCTTGTGATTCTGCTTTGTAGTTTGAGTTCTGTTTCTTGAATAATTTTTTTTAGTGGGGTTGTCTTTGATTTTATGCTTATGTATTGATTTTTGCTCCCCAGCCACCTGTATTTTTCTCTTTTTTTTTTTCAAAAAAAAAAAAATATATTTTTATGATTTTTTATGCTAATATCTACTTGTTGAGAGTAACCGACGTCTTTCTATTCTCTCACTTAAGCTTATCTGATTAAGAGTCCCAAATAGTTGCCTTCTCCTAGAGTTGAGTCACTGGAATTTTTGAAAGATGGACACTCCTTTTTAAAGTCTAATGTGGTTTTTCTTCTCAAAATAAATAAACAAATACAGATTAAAAAAGGAAAAAAAAGGGCTAAAGTGGAGTTGATATACAAAAGAATTGAAGTTGTAATCAGTTGGAGATTTTGTATTTGGGAAAGATAAGCTAATTGGGTCTTACATGAAGCTTTCCTGTGTTATTATCTTGAGATGCTGTAGGGCTATATAATTTTACTACCTTGATTTTCTCTTGTTTCCTTATAGTTGTGCATGAAGCTATGATGTTTAAAATGAGGCTTGAAATGCGCTGTTAAGCTTTGACGTTTAGCTGTCAAAAGCACTTCCATTGTAAATTTTGTACTTGATTTTGGTTCTACATGAAGCAAAAGCACTGATGTTATTTGTTCTAGACGTGACGGACCTTCATATCTTGGTATGTACGGTTATTTCTGTGGAAGAAAAGTATATAGGTCAAAGATCATCTTATATAGCGTGGATTTAGCATGTGAATCAGTCATAGGTTAATGATTTATATGATGGAAATTCTGTGTAAGAAGATGATTTGCAAGTGAATGTCTTGGTCTGCTTATTTCTGTGAAAGAAAGATATATAGATAAAAGATCATCTCATAAGTCATGGATTTATTATGTGAATCAGTCATAGGGTTAATGATTAGGTTTAATGATTTATAAAATGCAAATTCTGTGCAAGAAGATGACTAGCGAGTGAATTTTTCAATCTTTTTATACAAGTACAAGGTACACTTGGATTGATCTTCGGAGGAAAGGTGGATTGAGATTCTTAAATACTTGAACCTACTGGAGGCATTTGTCAATTGCTGGACTCGATAATTTTTTAGAACTTAGATAGATAATTAACTCTATCTGGTCTAACTTTTTGCTGCACTGACATTTCTCCCTATCACGTTTCACTCTTATTTATTCTGCACAAAGAAACAAACTATATAACCTTTACCTTATGAACTTTATCATTTCTCCTTACGGATCTTTGCTTCTGTATCTTTTTCCCTCATCTGCATGCAAACATTGATTTTCTATTCTAATGCAAAACTTACTAGACAAAATGTACTTTTTTTTTTAAAAAAAAAGTGCTCTGGATTGGATGAGAATGTTGATTACAATTTTCGTTTCTATTTTTGCTTGAACAGGGTTCCTACTGTGGGAGGAAAGGGTCTTGATCTTCATCATCTTTTTGTGGAGGTGACATCTCGTGGTGGCCTTGAGAAGGTACGGATTGTTATTGTTCTTGTTGTATTTTTCATTTTTAATTCTTTGTCCAAATAAAAATTGTAACTTAGAGCTATTGCATTGCAGAACTCATGACATACACTCTAATAAATTGGTGTAACCTCATTTACATCGTAGTTAAATAAATATACTTTCAAGTTCTTAGTGCATTGCATCAACTTAAACTTTCCAATTTTAATTGCGATGTCTAACTTGGTTCATGTCTTATAGCTTCTCTTTTTTTCAACATTCTGGCTTGGTTGCAGGTAGTTAGAGATCGGAAATGGAAGGAAGTGATTGCAGCCTTCAAGTTTCCATCAACAATTACCAGTGCATCTTTTGTCTTGAGGAAGTATTACCTTTCATTGCTTTACCACTTTGAGCAGGCCTATTTCTTTCAAAAACAAGCCCCTTCAGTCTCAATGCCTGGTACTTAGAGAGAAGGTTTTCAGTTATTCAGTAACAGATAATGTGTATGTTTTTAACCTATGGATTGAAAATATATGCTTCTGTTTTCTTTTCACAGATTCTGTAAATGGGAATCTTATTGATGGATCTGCAGCTCTAGAAAAAGGTGTGGCTGTGAACCAGTTCTCAGGTGAGGATATATTCTTTTGATGTAATGGCTCTATCAGTCTGCGGTTTAGCCATATTTACTTTGTGTTTGTGTGGGTTTTGTTTCTCTCTTGTACTAGCTACACGTGATATTAGTCTTTGGTTAGGATCTTGTAGTCACCCCTACATGTTTTGAGATGGTACAGAAGATTTTGAAGAAAAACATATGATCAAAGAGAAATGGTCCTTGTATATTGGTTATCAATGGCTTCTTGTAATTAGAATTTGCAGGAAAAGTCTAGCTTTTGTGTCTACTGCTGCATTTAATGTGTACCAGCTGCCAAATTATAATAATTTCGATGCTTCATGTTTTGAGGCCCTTTACAATCAAATGCCAATTTAATTTCTTTCAGTGGGTACTTACAACTAACTATTAGTTTCCTATGCCAATTAATTTGAATATTTTTTTGAGTTACTGAACAAACTGATCATCAATGAATTGAGCATGTATGGAATCTCTTCTACTGCAAAATTCTCCAGTTACATTGTGAAACACTGTTGAAATTTTGCTAAATCAGACATTTATCAAGGATTTATGATATGAAATAGAAAGACCTAGATCGCCCAAAGCAGATTCATACACCTTAGCCACCCCCTCATCAGCGATGACCACGTCATCACTCTGTCAGTTTGCCTTGACAATTTTGACCTTTTCTTCTATTTTAGAATCAGTAGTACCTTTGCCTAGTTGTTTATATGGTGAATATCTTAAGACGACTGTTGGATATATCCAACAAAAATAGCATCTTGCATGAGGATATTTGCCCGCTCTTTTGGTTGCAGGAAGTCTGGAATTGCAGCTTGGCTCTTCAGTGAGTGGAACCATTGATGGAAAATTTGATAATGGATATCTGGTTACTGTGAGCTTGGGTTCTGATCAACTGAAAGGTGTTCTATATCACAGTCCTCATGCATTTCACACATCTCAGAGTTCTCATACTTCAGATTTACCTCCTCGTCGGCACCGGAAGAAATCGCGGTTGTTGTTACGTGATCCTTCTCAGACTAAGTCAAATAGGAGCAGCTATAATTTCTCCTTTGCTGAACAGTATACCCGGACAAAACCTCTACACTATTCGGACGAGACAACTATTAACAAGAAGATTGGGCATATATGGAACAACCTCACAGAGAATGAAAAACAGGTAAATAAGCTCTTTGATTTTCTTTGTTGATTTCTGTATTATGATCTCCAGCTGTGATGTTGCAATTAGTACATCCTTGATCCTTTCACAATTTCTGTCTTAAAATTATTATGAATTTCTTTATTACTATTATTATTTTTTTCAGCTAAAATTCTCGATTACAATTCATACATTGTTCATTGGAGAATGTGCCTGAATCCCAAAAAACACAAATAGATTATGTTATGTAAATATATATATCTACAATTGCTCAATTTGAAAGATGCGACTTGTAGAAACATCTCTGATAAATGCATGTCGTACTTCCGGTGATTTTATGTTCTATCACAACTTGTTCGATTTCTATTGCTGTGATGCAGATTTATCAGGAGAAAGGTTTGAAGGAGAAGGAGAAGGAGAGATACAAGAGTGAAATGTTGGAACATAGATCATCTTCTTATGTATAGTGGCTTACAATGTTCTAGTTAGGACACTAATTTTCTATCTTAGCTTCAAATTGTTGTTGTGTTGTTGTTGCTGGTCAATTTTGTTCTAATCAAAGATTTATCTGACAGATGTGATATCTTGACAAGTTTTGGACCTGAAAAGCTGTTCACTTATCTGCTGAATTTTATTTATTTAGACTTGTATGGGTAATGGCAGCTTCATATCCTGTTTCTTACAGTTGCAGACTACAATTATTTGGATTTAATTAGAAAAATTACCTAACTTGTTGAAGAAGAAAGATTTGGATTTAATTTTGAAAAATCACTTAACTTGTTGAAGAAGAAATCTAATCACGATAGTAAACAATTAAGTCTTGTATTTTTTACCAATTAGAAGTCCAAAGTGACCAAATAGAGTATTTGGTATTAAGCAATTATTTAAGTGGTATCTGACAAATCCCTAATAAATCTCTATAAAAACCTTCCAAAACAAATTCTCTTTACTAATATAATCTAAATATAAAATTTCACTCTTTGTTCTCTCTTCTTCTTATTCTTCTTGTCAGTCACTGGTGAGACTACTCTAGCAGTAATCATTGACTACATCGGTGGTGGCGCGGCCATTTCCACTGCGGCCATTGTCGAATTGATGCAATGTCTGGTGCCAAGTTGGTCCATGACTCACAAAAGAGCAGGTTCTTCTTCTCCAGATAGAATTCTCGAGACACTTGAAACTCTAATCTTAGAAGCTGAAAGAACCAACCGATCAAGAGAGTACTTAAAAGAAAGATTTGATATAATCAATAAAGATAAAGATGACATACATGAAAATAATCAAGAAGCCAATGAAAAAGAAAGCTAATAAGAAATTCTAAGAAGTTATTAGAATTTATAAAGAAAGAAGATAGAAGAAGAAGAAGAAGAATCGTTATTGTTTCTGACTGAAAAAGGTTCGTCAATAAAGATATGCAAATGTGATGAGTGCTTAAGGAGTTTTCCGACTGGACAGGCAATCGGCGGCTATAAATCCTATCACCGAAAGCCTGACAGAGGAGGCTAAATTGACTTATATCTGAAGAAGGGTTATCGACAGTATGGTAGTGCATGAATTAAATCAATATTTGCTTAGGAAATTAATTCTAGTTTGGGTATAATAAGAGAAATGAGACTTGTAGCAATAGAAAAGATGTTTTTGTATTCAAATTTGCATCAAACAAATTTCTAATGAATTGACTAATTTTTCGATTTCTCATTCAATAACTGATATATATTGTACTGCATTTGTATATCAAGTTATAGTTAGTGTACCACATGACAATAGATTCAGGGCTTGCTTAATTAATATTTTTCGATAATTTTAATTTTAATTTAATTTAATTTTTATTTTTTTAAAATATTTATTTTTTCTAGAAAAATGCAATAATCATTTGTGTACTTGCCAATTGCCAGAATTCATTAAGGATAATGATTACATTTTACAAATAATTAAAAAAAACAAACTGATAAAATAATATAACAAAGATAAAAATCAAGATGCTATATAATCAAAATTTGATGAGAAGAAAAGTCTTATATATTTGAATATAACTACCAACTAAATAGTAATTCAATTGCCTTTATTTTTGAAAAATAAATAAACTTGTTATTCAAAGAAAAAAAATTATAAAATCACCATTTGATCCAAATTACATGGATTTTCATGTGCAATTTACTCTAAAAAAAAAAAAAAAAATTCATCGTGCAATTTACCAATAAAAAAAAAAAAAAAAAAAGCTAAAATCTGGGTAAGAATTTAGCCAATCAATTTTATAATGACCGCATAATTACAAGTTTTAAAGGATAAATTGAAATTAAATCCTTTATTTTATAAAATTTATGAAGATTTATTTACAAATTTAAATTTTTATGTTTGATATGAAAAAAAAAATTCTATATATTTGAATATAATAAAATCAAATTCTACTAAAAAATTTAAAAAAAAAAAAAAAAAAGCTAAAATTCTGGTAAGAATTTAGCCAAATAAATTTATATGACCGCATGAATTACAAGTTTAAAGGATAAATTGAATTAAAATCCTTTATTTTATAAAATTTTATGAGATTTATTTACAAATTTAAATTTTTATGTTTGATATGAAAAAAATAAATTCTATATATTTGAATATAATTAAATCAAATTCTACTAAAAAAAAAGATAAAATTCATAAATTTAAGTATCTCAAAGCTTAATGAATAAACTCTCCATATTTCTAGCTTTCTAAAATTATTAAGTCAAAAGTTTTTTTTTTTTTTTGAAAGGAAGTCAAAAATGTATTTATTCTAAAATTATTAAACTCTCCATATATTTATTCTAAATATAAAAAATTCATCTATAACAAATAGGAGTAAAAAGGTTAGATTTTATATTTCTTTACTTGAATGACAAGTTGAGGATATTTCGATTTTATATTATTATTTTAATAATAATGTTTGTACTTTCTCCAACTCCTTAGAGGAGTAGGATTTGTTTGGATATATGGAAACCGACTTTTTTGAAGAAAATAAAAAAACTAGGTCAGGTACTGATTCTTAGAAACTCCTCCGTCGCTTGCTATAAATACATATATATCCATCGTCACCTCCATTAATTCCAAACTCACTATCCGATATGTATATGAACGTAACCTCCTCTGTTTCTACTGACTCTTACTATGGCCGTCGTACGAAAGATTTCGACAGTACAGCCGATTCCAAAGACTGCTTTCGGTCGCTACCGTCCACCAATCTTACTCAATCTCTCCCTTCAGATTGGTCTGGAAAACGGAAGAGAAGTTCCTCTTCTTCATTGAATCAAGAGCTTCTACAAAAAGTTAGCTTTCTTCTTCTGCAATCTATGTCCGACGCTTTTAATGAAACTAACATATCAGAAGTTTTACAAGACATGATCAAGAGAAGCAAAGATCTAAACCGGAGGAACGATGTCGTTTTAAAGGAAGAAGGAGATATGTGCAGTGGCTTTTCAGATACTGATACTGCAAATAGTGAGGAGGATAAGAGGAAGAAGAGAAAGAAATTGTCAGAATTAGTTGGTTTGAAGAGTTCATCTTATGTGTGTAAAGAATGTAATAAAGTGTTTGATGACTTTAGAGCACTCGGTGGGCATATTGCAGCTCATAACAGGAACAAGAGAGCTGCGGCGGCAGGTGATGGGGTTGATTCGATTTTGGCGGCGGAGGCAGGAGTTTTTGGAGAAGTAAAGAAATATGCGTGTAATTTGTGTTCAAGAAGCTTTACCACAGGTCAAGCCCTTGGTGGACATAAAACATATCACCGGAAAATTGGGGATTGTGACGGAGAAGTTGAAGATGAGGCGGTGTCTGGTAGCCTTGCTACGTCTGAGGAAGAAAAAAATGCAGTTTTCCTTGCACTTGATTTGAATGCACCTCCTCCTTATGAGAGACCTTGCGGTTCTTAGTTCATATGAGGGTTTGATAGTTAGTTCAGTAAGTACAAGTTCAGTATTATCTTTTTTGAGAGATTTTTAGAATAAAATTAGTAACGTGCCCAGCATTGAATGGGCACATTTTGGGAGTATATTGTATTTATGGCAGCTACGAATGGTGAGCTCGCCAGTTTGCTGATTTTGTCCATACAAAATGCATTATTTCACAGATACACTTCGTGAGCAACTCTTGTACAGTTCGTCCCATTGCTATTTAAAATGCATCACAACCATTTTTAGAAAAGAAAAAATTTTAAAGATAGAAATCACATACTTGTGATTGGGACTCAATTAGAACTAAGTTTTGCTAATCGTATATCTCGACCTCACATAACAAAGAACAGTGAAACCACCGTCACCATTGGTATGAGTATCTATAGTAGATTGTAATCCGGGATGCTGCAAGGTATGATCTACTAGAGCCACCGATGGAAAATGAGTGCTGTAACTCCTATTGATACCACAACTTTAGTTCTTTCATTTGCTGCTCTAATGTCTCTTCAATTCAAGCATCGATGTTTTCATCGCTTATTCCCGAAGGCGAGATATAGCAGAAGAATTAGAAAAAAAAGACGCCTATGAACCGAGACCATACATCTCTCACTTCTTGACTGCCAACTTCCTGTAGATAAATCTGAGTAGCATAGATTGAGCGTGATTGACTAAACCTTTTCAAGTTGAGATTCAGCTTCAACTTTAGATAGACCAATCTCCCGAAAATAATAAAAATCTATATGTGATCTATACTTGCATTTACATTTTTGAAATATAAGCATAATAATGTTATTTTCCACAATTTGCTGATCCTTCTTTCTACTATGTTACCTCCAAAATCTCATATGAAGACGGGGTTGTTGTAGTTGAACCTCTTAAAATTGAGAAATTTGCATTAAAATTAATTCGAATTAAGAAAAATCAATATACCAAACATTTTGCATGTGCGTGTGAAGGATAGAGCTGTCTCTTATACCGTGTAGGATCAATTCTTGAGTCACCAATCTCATTAAGCAATCCTTGGAGAAACTCAAAAATTTGATCCAGCCAATCCAAAAATTAATTAAATTCCTGATCATAGAGTTAAGCAACTAAACTATATTTTAATGTTAGTGAGCCTGCTTTGCCATATATATGATAATATTTTCAATTAGGCAATATTTGTAACGTTGAAGCTTATTACAAGTGTTAGGATATAGGCTGACTTTGAAGGAAAATGTTAGGATTTAAGCTTATTTCATTAAAAAACAGAAAGAAAAACATTTTTCACTCCATGCATAAAAAAATATTTTTATCAAATATTACTATTTTTCCATTATTAAACAAAAATAAAATGTAATATATTTTAGCAACTTCATCAAATCCGTTTCCAACTTTGTTTTCGTATTCGTTTCCATTTTCTGTCAATAGTTCCCGCAGATTTTAGTAACCGTATTAGATTTCCATTTTTGAAGACCGTTTTTACTCCATGTATGCTTATTTAGCAATGGAGTAATCCATTTCCATGCAATTCGTTTCTAATTTGTTTCCAATCCGTTACTACATCCAGTAAAATTTCTTTACTTTTAATCTGTTTCTAATCTGTTGCTATTCCGGTGTTTTGTTATAGTGTAAAGAATGTAGTATGTTGATTTTTCCCCTTCTAAGTTTAATTTGATTTTGCTAAAAATCTCTTAAAGTTTAATTTGTTTTTTCTTTTCCTTTTCAAAAAAAAATTCTTTATTAAAAATAATAATGATAGATCATTAAAATGTCTTTATACCTTCTTAATTTTTATTCGCGGAGAGGAGAAAACGAACGGAGACAAATTGTAAATAAATATCATTTTTTTAATTAGAAAATTACTATTAGTATCATTTACTTTTTAAATGATAAGATATGAAGTAACAATTTAAAAAATTTCCACTCTATTTCCATTTCAATTTGGGGTGACGTGAGGTGAAAGATGGTGTGGAATCCAATTTTACATTTTGTCCCTATAATTTTGTCCCCTTTCTATTTGCCCATCTTCCAAACAAGCACAAAAGAAACTTGAGCTTTACATCAAAAACCTATATTTCCCAAATTAAGCTTTACATCAAACACACCATCACTACCAAAGAAATACAAAGTAAACCCAGCAAAGGTAACATACTGTCATTTAAGAAACATGTCAAAATGAAAAAACCTGTCATCTTCAGATGCTCTACTCAAAACAACCAATGAATTACAGAGGTGCGCAATGAAACCTGAAAACTTTCTTACAATTCCAACCCCATCATCCCAGAAGAAAGCAAAAAGAAAAAGAAAACGTTTCTAAGTGACAACATCAAAATTTAACATTCAGATCTTTGCCTACAGATGTGGAGAATACACAGAAAAGGGTCTACCAGTCTAAAAAGTATTGTTTTAAGTGGGTACAACATCCCCAGAATGGGGTGATAACTGCAACACTAATAACCAAAAGGCCAAGATAAGCAAAACCAGTTGGATGGAAAAACATGAAGTAAACTTAAATACTTTCGTCTGCATCTCCAATACCTCTTCTGTTCCCAAAATGTTTCCGCTATATTTTTCCACCTCCTCCGCTTGTTTCTTAAGTACTGCAGCTTTCTTCTCTGCTTCCGCAACCTTGTTCAAGATCTGTGCTTGTTCACCAGCCAAAGCTTCTTGTTGTTCAAAGAGAGTGACTTGATCACCTGCAGCAACTCTCAACTTCTGTATTGTCCTTGATAATGTCAAATACTCAACTTCAGCCTCGATCTTTTGCTTGAATAGGCCCTCAAGCTCATTTTCAATCTTGCTAGATATCTCTTGCTGCGACTCTATGGTCTTTCCTGATTTTTCCATTGATGGCTTGCAGCTAATCAAGATATTATCAAGTTCTGCAACCCTGGAATCCTTTACTTTAAGCAAAGCGTTTGCCTCCTCCAGTTTGTTTTCCAAATATTTTACATTCTCTCTCAGGCTAAATACTTGGGATTCCAAGGAACTTGATTGTTTGATATTTTCGGGATCAAACTGGTCACGTAAGCTCGACTCGTGGATTCCTCTGTCAGCAGAAGTGGAATCTACTGGAACACTGCTAACCTTCCCAATTTCACTTAATTTTTTAACCTCTGCAAAAATAAATAAATAAATAAATAACTAAGAGAAAAGAAAAAGAAAAAAAAAATGTAATTCTGTTGAATAAAATAAATCACCATAATAGTCAGATTTCGTTTCACAGAAAATGAATAAAAGAGTTTCATAAACAGTAAACAACCTTCTTTCAATCATACAAGAAAAATCAAAAAAATAAACAGTGCCAGGACCAAAGTTATCAATCGACAGCAAAACCCACACAAGTCAACAATTGGCAGTAAACAACACCAGCCATCTGAAACTTCAGCCAAATTACGAAACAGTAGCAAGATTGAGGGGTGTGGTCTACATAACTAGATATGTACACCAATAAAATACATGGAATGGGAAAAGATACATGTGAAGCACTTGAAGTATAAAAAGGGTAGAGCGGCAGTACACCTCTTTAAATCATCAAGACAACATAATAAGTAATGGAAAACATGAATACCATTTTAGAAAGATAACCTGAAAATTCAAGTTGTATAGCTAATTTCTAAATAACATTCTTAACTAAAACATAACAACTTATGCTACTAGGAACTTCAGGCATTAAAACTGGAATTACCCTGACCAAAAACTTCATTTATCTCACGTTAAAGATCATTTTCTTTGAAAAGGATCATATCAGATCACTAAAATTCCCATGCCATATTGACAGTGCTCAATGGTTTGCAATGAAATCCCAGATTGCAGATCACTAAGAGTAGAGAAAAGAAAAGCAAATAGATTGTCACGACTCAGTTATAGAGTGAAAGCATGTAATTTGCATTTTTTTTTTGCAAATGATGCAATTATATTCTTACTAGGACAAGAAATAAAGTTAAAACGCCTGCAACTCAACAGGGAAGGCACCTAATTCAGAAATAAGGTTTCTTGAAGATGCCAATCTCATAGTACTACTACTAGAGGGCAAGAGAAAGAGTCTTGCTGGATTCAATCCAAAGTAGCAAAGGGACATCATATACAGGGAAAAGTCCTTGGAATAAATTTTGGAAATATCATCACATAAGCATGTATATTTGCAGTTTCAACCAATTTCAGCCAAGTCTTGGCTCATCTCAGGCAAACCGCATTAAATTTTAACAATATATTATCATGAAAAACTGCATGATGAGTTGCGACATCCTCTATGACTTCTAAACAATCACTCTCCTAGCTTCAATATCAAAACTCAAAAGTTATAACAAGTCCATTAAAATAGGCCAGCATTCCTACAAAGAGACATCTGAAGAGCTGGGATTCATCAAACCTTTTACAGTTTAGCCCATTACACAGCATGCACCCAGATTAATCTATTATCTTCCCATTTCAGCCCTGAGGAGAGTTGCCTCTTTTACATTGGTTTCTAACTTCATAATGCTCTGACACCAATTTTTCTTTGCATGCCAAAAGAGTCTCATCCATATTTTCATATGGCAATAATTAACATACCCATGACATAGAAGCAATTATATCATTCTAATCCACCTTTATGAACCAGAACTTCCAGCTCCTTCTACTTCAAAGCTATTATTGCCAGTATTACCATCCAAAACTAATAGCTCTTAAAATGCTATAAGAATGAACTAAATCGCCAAAATTAGCCTTAGATGTAGATTTTTCTCCCTTCAACATGGATAATTTACTACAGGTATACCATCTGACAAACCATGAAAGCTATAGAATTTGATAATCTTGTTTATGGATAACAAATATTTCTATGCTTTTCCTCAATACATAAAAGGAGAAATGTAAAACCAAATATCCAGATATTTGCAATAAATATTTATTGATCCACTAATAACACTATCACACATGGATTAGCAGCATGCTAATTCATGAGGTCTTTCAAAATTGCAACTCAGTATAACAGAACATTAGCAACACATAAAAAAAACTATAAGAAAAATTCACAAATATAGGTGCACTGACCATTTTCAAGGGATTCCTGCACTGATTGGAGAGTAATGAGAGACTCAACCAAAGGATCTTGATCTATTGAGGGCCGATGATTCTTGCTTTTCCCTTCCTTGTCCTCCCAAGCAGAATCTGCAGCTAAATCATCTTCTTCTACTTCTAGATTCCCTTGGCGATAACCGGTCTGAACTTCTTCACTAAACTGTTGCTCACCTCCATGGGCATCATCACTGTTTTCTCCATCATAATTCATTGACCTTTCACTTTGATTTCCGTTACTGGTCACAGAACAAATACCCTGCGCAAAGACAAAGTTGGAGCTTCTTGAGTCAGATTCCATGCTGGAATGAGAGTTTTCCTTCTCAATTTTGACCCTTTCTCCTCTTGGCTTCTTACTACTTTCCACCCGTCCCTTCCCTTGTTGAACTCGTTGAGTTGAGCTACCAACAACATTCTTGCCACTCAAATTCTTAATCTTGTTCTTCTCCCGAACATACCCCGACACTGTAGGGAGATCATACCTCAACCTTGGAACACTCGCTGCTGTAGAAGACTTGCTGCTTCGATCCTCACTATTCTCAGAATCTGTCCCTAAAGGAAAAGCGGAGCTAACTGCAAATCTAGTTTCCAAACTAGACGCATGCGCCGCTAAGCCATCAAGGACACCTGCATTTCTTAACATGTTAGCAGATCCACTAGAACCGTCACTGTTTTGCTTGATCTCAGCTGGCATTAAGTTTGTCGGTTTATTGGGATTTCCAGAAATGGACAATCCCCTCTTCAAAACTTTACTGATATCTGCTGTGGTGCTACCATCCTTAATAACATCTCTCTTAATTCGCCTCCACTTTCTCAAACCATATCCTTTAGTAATTGAGGGTGACCCCACAACAGGAGAATTAGCCCTTGAAGGCTGAGAATTCACAGAATTCTCCATTTGCTCAATTCCCGTATCTTCTTTGAGTTGTCCATCATAAGGCGAAGTGCTAGTATCAACAATTCTGCTAGTTCCTAGGTTGTAAATCTCATTTGAACATGACCCATTTGCCTTGACCTTGTTCTTCACACGATCAAGGTTTGAAACACTATCATCTGGGTTGGTAGTGGTCAATTCATTATCTTCAACCGATTCAAGCGCAGAACTTTCACTTTCCAAATCCATTAAGTATCTTTTGGATCAAGATCAAGAAAAATAAACTATCATTCCAGCATTATCATGTTGAAATCAACTCAAAATCTGAGAAAGAATAAAAAAGATGAAATAAAGATTAAACCATACTCTAATTGAACCATTCTCTTGCATCAAATACAATTCAATTTTCTTCCAACAAGTTCATTATGATAAAGATGATATTTATACCAACTGAAATTGAGAGTTTGGAAATTAAAGTAATATATTTGAAATTGACCCCAAAAAGAAAAAGGAAAAAAAGTAAAATTTCAATAAAGGACGCACCTTTTATATGTATCCATTAACAAAAATGAAGCTTTGAATTGAAGATTGAAGCTTGTGATTAGATGATGATTGTTGCCACCCTGAATCATAAAATTCGAACGAAATGGAAACCCTAAACTATGCTTGGATTTGCAATTTTATAGCCGTGAAATTATTGAATTTTTTTTTTTTTTTATGATATATATGTATATATTATAATGTATATTAGTATATTGTAATAATAATATTGTGTGTTTATATATATATATATATATATATATAATTGCAGGTGGACAAGATGAGATGGGCCACATGGAGGCGGTGGCCCACAGCCTCAACACCCGTAGAAGTGGGCATTGTTGGCCATCTGATCTGTAGTACAACCACACATGGCAAAGTCGGTTGTCAATCACTGTTCTTCACTCAAAGGAAAGGAAAGGATGTGCTTTTCATTCACTTGATTCCAGGGCCATGATTAGTATATTGAATAGGAAGTTATATTCTCAAATCTCTTGTTTAATAGTAATTAAGATTTGAAATTGGTAATGGATTATAGAAAAAGTTGGCATTTAGTTCAACTAATTCGTATAGTTAATAGTTATTTGGCATGTGATAGCTATATTATAAGTGTCAAATTATATTTTAAGTGTTTCTTAAGCTTTTTATCAGGAGCAGATAGCTAATAGAAGTTTCAATCAATTATTAATTTAGTGTATTTTGAATTTTTTTTGTATCAGTTGGTAACTGATTCATATTTATATTATTTTTAATTTTATTAACCTCATGAGAAATTGCTAATAATTTTTTAAAATTAATATTTTTATTAACATTTTATTTATAGTTGTTTAAAAATAAAATTTTTTAAATATTATTTTAAAATTTTAATTATAGTTTTATTTATATAATATATTGAAATAAAAAAATAATATATTCATCTTATGTAATTTAGTGTATTTGAATTTTTTTTGTATCAATTGGTAAACTGATTCAATTTAATGATTATTTTTAATTTATAACCTCATGAGAAATTGCTAATGAATTTTTTAAAATTATATTTTTATTAACATTTTATTATAGGTTGTTTTAAAAATAAATTTTAAATATTATTTAGAATTTTAATTATAGTTTATTTATATAATATTGAAATAAAAAAATAATATATCCATCTTAAATATATATATTATATATATACTTAATGTCTTAATTGGTCATTTGTCACACCGATTACATGGGCCGGTACTCGGCACTAGGGCCCAGGTTAAGCTTAAGGCCCCCGAGACTCCCGTAGTAAAGCCCTGAAACACTAAAAATTTATTATCGTCAATATAATTTTAAACATTCAGCCCTATTATTTGAAAGATAAACCTCAATAATTTAATTTTCGCCCAAGTTTATCTTCTACAGCATTCTATAGTTCGAGCCGAATTTACAAAATACACTCACATTCTAATATGGGCTTACAGAATATTTGTCTATGTAAGTGACAGCTAAATTATATGTAAATTTCCTACAGACTGCGGAGTCACACTTCTTGGTATACAATAGCCTTTTTATACCGCATAATACATATAGTAGAAATAAATTATAGAACCAATGGAAATTTTCCTATTGCCTGCGCCGAAAAACATAAGCCTCAAACGGAATTTAAAGAAAAACTTACTTCCTGGAAAAATAAACAAGACATGGTGAGTTTCTAAGAAAGAAATACTATGCACAACACATGCTCACACAAAATGTATAAATATATCAAATCTAGTCATCCGACTTAGTTAATTGCTACACGCGAGCCAATCACACAAAGTGGCATATCACACAGCACTCCACAGTATGTCACGTTCAAATTAAACCGGAAGCAAGCTGGAAAACTGTAGTTCTAGTGGCGCCTCCTGAAACCGCACTGAGCCGTCCTCTACACAAATGGCTTTCGCTCCTCTCATACATGTGCACCAGGGACGCCGATCCCCATACGGCCAACTGGTCTAATCCTCACTGACAGTTCTCTCTATTATTTTTCCCATTCTCTCTTCTCTTTTCCATATTAACAGGAGGCAACTCGGTGGTCCCATCCAATCCTAGTATCATGCAAGGTGCTCACAGACAGGAGCCATCCCTGCGGGCTACAATCCCAGATTATCAGGTGCGCCCAATAAGAAGCCACCCTGTGGTTTCCATATAATCAATATCATCCGGTGCACACCGGGGCGCCGATCTCCCATTTACCCTGCCTCACAGTCAAATTCCATATCATATCATAATTTAATCATATTCACGATCCACCGTCCTCACAAATCCATGGTGACCCACTTCATCCCAACTCCACAAAAACAAAGTATACCATTGTCACATCACAACTAATCAAGCATTGCAATTAAATGCAGACATATTGATCAATTAAACATCGTAACGCAATGCACAATTAGACATCCATACTCAAATGCAAATAAATGAATAAATAGTATTAACAATAAACAACAATGATAAAATAAATAATAATAATAAACAATAATAATGAAAATAAATAAATAATTGAATAATTAAATGAATCTTAAATGCCTAACAATGACAATAAATAATTAATCACGAGTACTTTATTTAAGACTTTTATTTTAAAATAAACTTATTAATTATATGTTAATTAAAACTAATCTAAGTTCTATCTGAAATTTCCGGCAGCATCTCCCCCTAATAAGTGGATTATCTACCTGCTTAAAATATCAGCAATATTTAGTATCCATCAAACCATTACACACCAGCCATCCATCGGGCAATCAAATAATTTAATTCCCTTCTCTCCTTCAAGAAACAACAATCGAAACATTCAACTAATAATTTCAAACATGGTTCCATTCATATTCAATCATCCGTGCGTTCACATCAATATAATTACCACTTTAGCTAAATACCTGAATAAATGAAATCGTTTATACATAATACAAGCAAAATCTATACTGTTTAGTTAGTTAAATTCGATATAAAGTTCCTTTATTCCAAATACATATACCTTTAATAATCTTCTGAAATTATAAATTCATAAACCTCTGCTTATTTTTCTTGATTAAAGGATCTCATAATTGAATTTAATGATCTACGAATCATCTTCCTCACCATACATGATCATAGCTAACAAACCCATTTTAATCGTCTATCAAATATAAATAAGCATTTATATATCAACCAATATAGAAACTTGGAAATATACTCACTTATATATTTTTGTTGTTCTAAAACAATGCAAAGTCTAAGGTCATTGCTGCCAAAATACAAAAATTCATAGCTCTTCTATACTAAAATCATAGATTACGCAACAACTAACCCACCTTGCAAAAATTGAACTTACAACCTCATTCTTAGCTTTGATTAGTCAAAATTTATAAGGATCAATTTCATAACAGCTCTCCAAAATTTATAAGGATAAATTTCATACAGCGTCATTCGCAAAGGATATCTACAGTTTTTTTCCTATCTTAAAATCATCGGATCAAAACCACCTAACTAAGTCCACGCAGTAGAATTAGATTTACAACCTTAATTGTACCGATTGCGTCAAACCAAAAAAAAATAAGTAGAAATAATTGGAAGATAGCTGCTGCCAACCTAAGCAAATCAAGGTTCTCGATCAAAATCCATATTATAAACGCTAGTTAACTCATTTACCAACAAAAACTAACTTATCAATGTAATGCCTCATACAAAGCAGAAATTTTAAGCAAATAGCTAGGTTGGCTGCTACCATATCACAATCATTCTAATTTCTTTCATAGGACCTACAATAAACACCCTAACTTACACATCTCCTTGAAAAATGCAGTCATAATGTCAATTAATAGTCAAAAATCAGATTTTTCCCAACTTCCAGTCGTGTGAATAGTGTTTCAGGAACCTAGCATTTCTCATTCATGATTCTAACAACCCTTTCCTCAAATGAGCCATTGAATAAGCTAAATAATTGAAGGAAAAGGGATCATATAGAGCTCACCAAGGTTTTGAATGCGACTTTACCTACTACGCGCTGTGATCGCAGTTTCTTGGTTCACTGCGCCAGCCGGAACGGGAAGGAGAGAGTGAAGAAGAGAGATCGAATCTTCGTCCTCGACAATACTGAATCGACGCCGCCGGAAAATCAGGCAGGAAGGCTCACGCGAACTTCCGATCGAATGTCGCGGCTCTCCTGCACCTCCTGCGTATGCCAGAGACGAAAGAGAGAAGGGATGGGAAGCCGGGATCTGCTGCGACGTGGAGGCGATGGCAAGGAGGCGCGGCGTTGGTCTTCGGTTGTCGGAAGAAGAGGAGGAGGAGGAGGAGAAGGTCGCGCGCTGGTGCTGGCGCAAGGAAGAAGAAGGGAAAGAAAAAAAAGAAAAAGAAAAAGAAACGAAGAAAAAAAAAAGAAAAGAAAGAAAAATCTTGGGCTTCTAGACCATTCCGGTTCGATTCGAACCGATTTGGTCTAATTTAATGATTCGGCTCGATTTCAAATGAATTCGGTCTCGCTGCTTGGTTTTCGAAGTTTTCAAATGGTTTATGGTCCAGTTTCAGCATAATAAAAACTAGCTGGTAGTTCGATTGGTTGAAAAAAATTAGTTTTTTAATGAACTATTCTACGATAGATTAATTTTCGGGTCGTTCAATCTTCCCCCTTATAAAAAATTCGTCCTCGAATTTTCGAGAATGAGCAAAGAAATAGGAATGCAACTGAAAAGAAAGCATGTAAGATATTTAAACAAACAAATTATCAATTTGATGACAATCACGAAAATGAAAAAGGTTTCATTATAACTCAAAATGTATTCGTTCAACCATCTATTACATTTATTGTCACTTGATTAAAACTCACAGGAAACTTAAGTCTATTACTATGACCTCGAATTTCTATTGCCAACAATCCTATACTCCAAATTTAGTAGCAACTCAACTTCTGTACCCGAAATTGCCTACCTGACCATTCCAACATTCGTGTTTCTATCTTGACTGCGAACTACCTACTTACCTATAGCATTGTTATCATTATCATTACCACCCCTTTATCTTATCCCACCGGCCCTGTGATATAAATAGAATTGGCCCCGTGATATAAATAGACAACTTTCAAAAATAATTTTCTATATAAATAATCAATTTCAAATTATTTATCATAACACAATTTGAATTCAAAATTGAAATGGGGTTTTAAGTTTAAATATCAAATATCAAGTAAATAAAACAATAAGGTTTGATTT